GAATTGTTGTTGACCATCAGTTCATTATCTCCTGGTTTCAAATATGACGCATTAACTCTTTTCATCACTCATTTTGCTCTCCACTTGTTGCAGTTATATTACGGGTCAGAAACAGGAACAGCACCCCATATCCGGCTTGTGTAAACAACTTCCAGCTTCGTTACCTCCAGGCTGGACCCGCGTAATTGATCAATCAACAGGAAGCGCAGCTTTTCTGCAGTAAGTTATTGTTGCGCTGAACTGGGGTAGGGCCAGCATCAGCTTATTTTATGGTCTATTTCAAGCAAACTGCTACAGATCAGTTCAAATGCTGATTTTGGATAGTTTTGGGCGGTTTTCAAGCGGTTCGAATCGCGATCACTAGCATTCTCCGTCCTCTTACCATCACCACGAGGGTTTCGCAGCCTCGTTAGCGTCTGGTTCAGTACCATGCATGTCTTTCTGTAGCTTTATAAGATGACGTTTTTACTCCTCTTCTGTGATACACCCACCAATACGGGCACGATAAATCTGGAAATTCATCAGGAATGTGTTCACAAGTTTCAAGGTCATGGAGCAGAAGACTTATCGTATCAGGTTTGTTTGTATCATAAATCTGCGTTTGGTTTTATGTATCCTATGTATTTGTTTAGTTAGATTCGAGGTTGCAGTATGTTGCGATGCCTTTTTCACTGCACTGTTCCAAGGTTTTTTAATACTTACCTACCGGACAACCGGTCGACCCCTCAGACCACATTGATTGGAAGGGTTTCTCAGGAATACGGTTACCATCGATGCCCCCAGCTCCGGTCGGTTTTTTTTATTCGAGGTAGTAACTCAAGCTTTTGGTTTTTCAGGTGCAACCTGCAAGGCAGTATACTTATTTCATGCAAGCCTGCGGGTATTAGTTTGGTTCATTCACCTCGTTTGGGAAGTCTTGTCATGTAGATGATACGAGAACATAGTGGTAAATCTATTCGGGTCGGATGACACGGGTTACACCACAGTGTCGCCGCATGACTTTTTTAATGTTTTCTAGGGAGCACGCTTGCAAAGCTACATTCTCGGGCACTGCAGCTGCTTGCAGCAGCCAATTATTCCGAGAATTCGAGCATCTGACGATCGCCCACGCATCAGATGGCATACCACAAAGGGCCACGTGACCCTTTAGTCTTCAGTCACTGCAGTATGACATGGTCTTGACAGCCGTCGTTCAGATAATGGTGATAAACTCCTTAGCATATGATCAGAACAGGACCTGTTCCTCGTTAGCACGAACTTCACACACTCAAAGCGTCACCTCGTCACTTTGCGTAACACCTCTTTTGCACAGATGTGGAGTCAGATTGATCATATAACTATTAGCTTTAGATGGAGACAGTACGTGAAACATTGTCATTCGTATTGGTCTACCTGCTTGGACTCTGATCGCGCACTGGTTTGTGCCAAGTTGTCAGTGCTATTTGGTGGCCGCAAAAAGACGAGATTTAAACAGCTTGACGTCGTCAAGCTTTCTTATCCGGCCATGCTAGCCGACTACCAAAACAAGTTGACTGCAAAGCTAACTACTACCCCATCAAGAAGCGTAGATCAACACTGGACAACCATTCAAAACGCAATACACTCAGCTAGGTAACACAGTTGTGACCTGACCCGTCGAGTTGTAAAAACACTGGGTCTCCTCCAACTCTGTCAGACGAGCGTCCGGCAATCCCGGCAGACGACGAGTAAAATGAACAACGCCTCCCTCTGAGGTATGAACTCACAAAGAGCTTGATAGACGACTGAGAAGCCTGGTGGACACTACGTGCAAAGAAGGTGAAATCAGCAGCTAAATTTGGAAACATCCGGTAACTATTCCAATTCGTACGTGCCATGGGCCCCAAAAGACAACGTGTTAGTGAAACAATCTACGAAGTAGACGGTACGCCAATATACAGTCTTCGCTGACACTTGGAACGTTGGGCAGAGCACTTCACTTCGCGGTTTAACCAGTTCGCTGCGCTGGCTGCCTCAAGTAGTTCACTTGAGAGTGCACCCTATCACTATCCACGGAACCGCCCACAGAAGTGGGCATCTGAAAGGAATTCCAAACCCTGAAATTCCACAAGGTAACAGGATCAGAAAATCTGCCACCTGCCATCTTTAAAGATTGTGGAGAAGCTCCCGTGAGAAGACTTGTCAGAATGTTGTCAAAGATCTGGGAGACTAAACGTGTACCCTATGGAGAGAATCGATTGGAATACATCTACAAGGTCACTCGCATCGCCTGTTCCAACCACAGAGGCATAGGTCTGATTCCGATAGTGCCAATACGCGTAACATAACGTACCGAACGCTGGCGGCATCGCGCTACTTCCTAGAGATAGAACCGTAGACTTAGAGTATGCCGATGATATTGCCTTGCTGTTTGGCAACGCACTAACGATTCAAGAGTCATTGAATCGTTTGGCAATTGAGGTTACTCGTGATGGTATGTCCTTTGCATCTTCAATGTGCAAGGGGTTGTTGCAAGAGTAGAAGGAGCCCCGTCTTGCACTTTCCTTGGGTAATGAGACCCTGGAAGTAGTCGATCGCTTTGCCTACCTCGGGAGTTGCATAATGGTTGGCGGAGGTGTAGGCGAGATCTCTCGCTGCGTAACCAAAGTGAAATTGACGTTTGCTAATCTGCGGCATCTCTGGCGCCGGTGCGACGTATCTCTTTCACTGAAAGGGCGTATGCATTGCTCAACGGTACGCACCGTGTTGCTCTATGACTGCGAAACCTGCTCTCTCCGAGCGGTAATATCCAACAACTATCCGTCTTTGACAACCGTTGTCTGTACAACATCGCCCACATATGGTGGGAGCATCGCGTGAATAACAATGAGATCAGATAGTCTTCCAATGAGCAAGGTCATTTCACTGCATCGTCTGAGGTGGCTGGGGCACGTCCTACGAATACCTGAGCAACATCTGCCATACCATGCACCATTTGCAGACATTGGTGCGGACTGGAAGAAAAAGCGAGGTGGGCAGGCTTTGACGCGGCTTTGGGGGTTGAAGAGAGAAGAGAAAGATTTGGCTTCCGTCGGGGCTTCCCGACTTCGTCTGTGGCCCTAAAGATTCAGATTGTCTTTGGCCGGAGACACTGCGGGATATGGCATCGAACCGAAGTCAGAAGCGTGAATGTATACTATCCTTGCGAGATCCCAAAAGTTAAACAAACAAAATGGCGACCAGTAAACAAGCAAGAAAAAGTTGTTTGTTTTTGTTTTCTTTCTTTTCTGTTTCGATATTTCACGTTCAACCCATGGTAATTTTGGGTGCGTATCTGTAAAGATTGGTGATATATATATATATATATATGTAATTAGAATCACCTATTTCTACGACCTATGTGTGGTGGGTAGTTAAACGTTACCAAGGAAAACATTCATTCAACACGTTCAACTATGTTGGCTGTTTCGAATTATCGCAACTGTTTGTTATCAGTCTTTCTCTTTAGAACAAAAACTGAAGATTGATCTACATGACGAAGTCTTATGAATGTTTTACTTCTGGGCCTATCGTCACCTAAATCTCAGTTGTACTCTTCTTGTGACCCGTTATGTTCAATTTCATCTTCGAATAGGTTCATGCTAAGCAACCGTCATCATACACAAAATCGCCGTAATCGTTTATGCCTGGTTTTCATTTATCGTTCGCTAGTTTGTTTCTCCGTTAGTCATATTTATCGAATTGGTTAGGGCTTCGCTCGTTTTTTTCGGAAACTAATTTGTTTTGCATTTTGTTGTGATCGAATTCCTTGCACTCACAAATTTCATTTTGAAATTACATAAAGTGTGCAACATCATTCTTCTTAGCCTACCAACGGGTCACTTAAGCCCATTGGATCCACGTATGGCGTTCGCCGTCCCCGTTGGACGACATGCTCGCAGTCGACTGATCGCTAGACAGAAATATGATAAATTTTCGTGTGTTGATGAGGTGAGTCATAAGTTGAATAAGACTGATAATTATTTTTGGACAGATTTAGGTGATTGGTTTATTTAAGGTTTTTGATAACACAATTATCAACGATCAATATTTGTGTTATAAAGCTGAAGCCGAGTTTGAGATTCTTTGCTTACCGATCAGTGGCCAATCCCCCACTAATTTTTCCAAATTCAAACTTTTATAATGGGTGATTAACAAAACTGAGGCTTATTGAATCCCATAGGTTATGCACACACTGGGTTCGGATGGTAGTGTAATGAGATAGCGAAATAACAAACCACTACGTTCCCTCTTGGGTAATGAACAGTTATGTGCTTCATCGATCCACGGTTTAAAGGAATCGATGATTGGATCACAAAAAGTTTGGGATTAAAGATAGTTCCGGGTATTTTTTTTACCACGAAAAATACAGGTCGTTTTCCCTGTTGGTTAAATACCCAGTGCGCTACGCCCAGTAAAAGGCTACTATGCCGTTGTAGATATTCAGAAGGACTTCATAATCGTTCTTTTTTCTGCGGTTGCATTTGTAAACTATCCACATGAAACTGATAGAAGTGCGTCAGGGGTGGTGTTCAGTTGTTTCATCCAGCTTGCTAGGAGTTTGAGTAAAGCAAGTAACACAATATGAACAGAATTGATATTGGCCATCCACTTCGTGTAGTCTCAATCGGCTGTCTACGCACATTCAAGTCGTCAGAATGTTATAAGCATACTTTATATGAACATTTACATAATTACATGCTAATAATTGGGTTGTTAAGTCATTTGAGGATGAGTGAACGAGGGAGGGATACTGACTATAAAGATTCAGAAAAAGGAAATGCTAGCATAGAAACAGTTACGCACTGGAAAACGATTAACCGTGGATGAAAGAGAGTTTAAAATGGTTAAGTAATACGAAATAGATACAACCAGAAAGGAATTAGAACGGACGTAGAAGGGTAACGGAGTAGAGAATCGGTCCATTAAGTGGAAATATGGAAATACGCATAACTACTGGGTGACCATAACTGCGAAATGAAAGTTATACTTCGGAGTTTCTTTCTGACATTCATATGCTACTTATTATCCATGTATATATGTACGTATATACAGGTATATATATAGATGTATATATATATACTTTAATTCTTTAATGTGAATGGTTCCCAGTATTCATTTTCATATTATGGCTTAACATTTTCTGGTTCGTGCGCACAAATCCTGTCAGATCCTACTAGGCAGGGATTTACGTGGCCAATTTATGGTGATCTCTGCGGCCGGTTGTGGCTTACCCCTACGAATGGCATCTAAACTGGCCGCCGCTGGAGCCACCGTAATCGCTGCCTGTCCATTTTGTCCTCCCGGGGCACATCCTTGCCCCTCAGACCGCAGCCAAATCGGTCCTGGTCTATGGTGGATCTCATGTGACCTGGGTGACTTGACCAGTGTTGCCCGCTTCGGTCAGGTTAGTATTCTGTACTTTGGAAGCAGGCCCCATACATATCTATATGTTCTTTATCTATACACGTAAACAATCCCTTGACTGGCTTTTCTTATCTCTTACACTTCAACAAACTGCTCACTGATCTAGGGTCTAAGTTTATGTCGTGTTTGTGACCGAAATACTGATTACATTGTGAACAGAGTGAATCCCGGATTTCTCATACTTTTTACTTAGAAACATATAGGAGTAAACTGACTGCCTGCGCGGAACTCCTCGATACATAATTGGTCATGCCTTTTTCCTTCCGCATGTAGTGCAGACACCAGTGATCGAATATCTCAAGGCTTTGGAGACTCTGGGGCCGTTTTGGCCACGTATCCCAGCCGCATTTCAAGACCAGGTGGTTGGCTACCCGATAAACTCCCACCTTAATCTGGTGACTGCTTTCCCTACATGGCTGTATTTTTTATTGGGAGTTGTCGAAAAGCCCTCTGAGTTACATCGGTGCGTAGTTGGATTTTGTTGGCTTGGCTTGGCCGTTGGACTAGATGCCGGAGCCGAGATACTTTTAACCCGGACGAATTCAATTGCCTCGCCATTGATAGAGATTAGTTTTGTTGAGAATGAAGCAGCCCAGATGGCTTTGGTCTTAGGCAGATTTATCTTCAGGCCAACTTCCCCCGGAAAAATGGGGGAGGCTTTCGAGGATGGGCTGTCGGTGGTCCGGCGTGTCTCCGAGACTGACGACGCCGTCCGCGAACTCTTCCCCAGGGTAACCAGCGAGGGCACATTTCATCGTCCACTCGTTAAAGCAGAGCACTGGAGACAGGCAAAAGCCTTGTCGAACTCCCAAGTTCCATGGAAACCGATATATGCCTGATCATAGGCTCGGATTTGTGTTCGGATGTCCCATTAGTACGCCTTTATAAGTTCTGTGAGTTTCCCCGGCATACCATTAGTTTTTATTATGTTCCATAGTGAATGTTGGTAGATGGAATCAAGGCTGTGCGGAAGACGATCAATCAGGCAATCGTTCGGTACGACAACTAGTAGTGGTGTTCCAAGATCCTACAGAGGGTAAATATTTGATTAACACAATCCATGCTACAGCAGAAGCTGCCTTGGTCTGTGCGGGTTCGGTCCCTAGCCTCATGCACCCAATGAGACAGGCGGAACGTGGACGAGACAACACTTTATTGACTGGGGACTGCCCAGCTCGGACGAACGGTAGCAGTCCAGTGAAGTGCGAAGACTTCACCCACCGTCGAGAGGAAGCCCCAGGTCCCCCGCTTCTACGTCAATCTAATGGGGTTTGTTTATCGGTCCTGCCCCTCCCCGTGCTTATTTGCTGGGACGCGGGTGGATGGACAATGGAAGCCAGAGGGTACCCAAGGAGCTGGCTTTGTAAAACCGAGCTTTCTCTTGCCTCTACCCATTGACCTTTTAGGTATAAATGGATCTGTGGCTGTGAGGAGCCATCCTGTATAGCTCGCATGCTCATAGGAGCACGCAATCCATCGCACCACGTTAAGTTGCATTCTAATCGTGATGGAGAGGTCATTCTCTTATCTGCGACGTAGAGACGCTCCCGGTACCACTCAGCTGTGTTTCCAGTTTCTGAGAGCACTTTCATGAATCAACTGATCAGTAGACATTCGTACAGAAATCTCTATTGACTTTCTATTGTCGGAATCATTTTGTTTCAATCAATACAGCTCAGCTGTAGCCCCTAAAACACCAGCGGTCATCTATCATTTCAAGTTTTGACCAGCGTTGGTAATGATGGTGATGAAGTTAGGCATGGAGGCATGGAGGTAATCGCCGTTGCCCAATGGAACAAGTGTTTGGTCCACAGTTTATTTTTTTAGGGCATTTCTTACGCACGTGGCTAAGTATACTGCTATGTCACGCGGTATTCCCCGAGGCAGTTAATGGCTGCAAAAAACTGAAGGGGATCAAACTGAGACATTCACACTGCCTTCGAAATTCCAATCTTCTCTCAACTCCATCCAAATGGGCAACTAGACCCGGTGCATTTAAGTGCATGGTTTGATTGACAGAAACGTTTGCAACTCCCAATGCGACTGAGTGTAACTTATCTTCAGTAGGTAAGGGGTATTGGCAGTTCCTTTGTTTTAATCCGTGTGTTTTTATCGATGAACAACGGTACAGTTATTTAACTAAGGTGCCAGACTTAAATTGATATCAAAAAAGAATGATGGAAGGGCTAAGCATCATTTTTCTTAAACCCTATAATTGTTTGCTCTCCCTTTCGCTCTGTGTTTATCCCGTTCCCTCATTTATTATTCTTGTTACGTTTTCACCATGCCTTTTAGAAAATCAGTGATATACGTACCCTTGATTTGTTACGTTTTTCTTCTTCTGACTATCAGACAAACCGTAGTTTTCATTTCATCTCAACTTTCGCAGCACTCCAGGTTTTCCAGCAATTACGATCACCAAGTAAAGTTTCAATGTAATGCGTGCCAAGATTACGGATCCCGGTTTTGACTAGCACTGATTTTTACTGGAATAAAGATTGATCGCGATTAATGTATGCCTGTTCTGTTCTGAGGGACTTATTGATCTAAAAAGCAAATCTGTCTGGGCTGATGGATAAAGGGACTAAGGGCAGCAGCAATCCAGACAAGTTCAAATAACCACAGAGTGGTCCACACTTCGTATAGACTCTTGAATCATAGAAGTGATCAAATTTGTACAGGAGACTATTACTGTCAGCGGCACCCCATACGCCAGGTCGCACAGTCTGTGAAAAATCTTCCTAAATGTTGCGGTCAGTGTGCTTGATGTTAGTTTGAGTCGGGTTTGGCAGAAAATCTATGGTTCAATGATTGGAGTTTACCAAAGTGGCTCCTCTTTAGACGGCAGGTAGTTCAAGATCGTTCGAAAATAGAAGGTTGAATTGTTTGTCTCGTCATGCGGGAAATTTTGCACGGTGAGGAAGTGAGAGATAAGTCGAGAAATGGAAATCGGTACAAAACGACGACTCACGAAAGAAAACGAGCAGTCAGTGTAATTAGAATGTTCTGATATAAATATATGAGAAAATTTCTGTACATCAGAGTTAATACTGGTAGGCGAGATATGGGTATTTGATGCTGCGATCGAACGACCTTTTCTAAGAAGGCGGGCTTGCATTGGACCGAAGAACAGGTGTTGATCAAACTCGTGCAACATCACTCTCATTTTGAAAATACGTTTCAGTCTCCAATGTCATACTTGCATATTGACGGCTACGGCCAAACTTTATTTTTTCTTATTTTGTCTCCCAAATCTATGTTCTTAGTTCGTTTCTACCGCTGTTTAAATTTACGTGACCTTGAGTGTTGTGATAAAATTTGTAGTAGTTCGATAGTTACATCTCAGATTTGAAAAATACTTTGAGCAAATCAGCATGGGCATTCATTCGTTTTAATATATAATTCCCGTTCCATGAGAGTGTTTACTAAGTTGAGCACATGTATTCTAAATTGTTTATCTCTTTTCATTCAATGAGCAGTAAATAAGCAAATTAACGAAAATATTCTAGCCTGAATAAATTGATCAATTATTTGGCTATTAACTGCTCGCGCATTATCCACAATACCGCAGAACTGAAAACATAGTCCAAGAAACAAAAGTTGACCTTGAGGTGTGCGGCTCGTTGAATAAGCGTTTTGTGGTGTCACCATACCCAAACCGGTTGAAACATTCAAAAGTTTTTGGCGTATAATTGAAACTGAGAGGCAACTTAATCGAGGCGCATAAATCCGATGACTCAGTTAGTGTCTTGTGGAAGTGCTTTGATGTGAACAGAAGTCCAGTTTGTTGCATATTCAACGAAATTTCTCCATCAAAACATAAACCAAGAGGGATAAAACCGATCATATCCAAGAAAATTTATGTTTCTATCTGCTCGCAGCAGAGAAGAATTGCACAAAACCAATCTGGAGGACAGTGCGGGCTAATTAGCCGTTTTTCCTGGAACCTTGGTTTGGAAACTGATGGCTCAAGTTAACGTGCAACTGAGGCCACGAGATATGCAGCCGCTATGGAACACCCAACAAAGCATTTATTGATTTTACCAACAAATTCAAATCACGTTGCCCGTTGCCATTTGGCAATGTGTTTATCTCACTGGTGGCCAACGAGTAAAACGGTGAAAACTGATCTGCTGAACTATTTTTCTAGTGAATTTCGTGTCAAAAAAAGTAAATATTCATCCCGCCTGACGAGTTAGAACGGAAATAAATACCGAGGGCCTTGTTATTGGTCTCCTGCCTACACCAATATGCATATCGCAAAATATTTTGCATTCATAAGCGAAGTTTTCAGTAAGTGCTACTCTTCAAATGCATTCGCGGGAGTCAAATTTTTCACAGATGAAGGTTGGTATATCTTCTCTCTTGAGGTTTGTAGTAGAAAATGGTTAGGCCTATTTAAATATTATTTTTTCACATTTATACAGTCTCTGAAGGGGTTAAGTTCACTGTCAAATTCGCTCAATTACTGCGCAGCCGCTGAAATTTTAATTTAGTCGAAAACTTTCCCGTGTATCAGAATCAGGGTTAAGTTAACTGCCGTCGAGGCAGTTAACTTAACCCTGATTCGACGTTGGTCGTCAGTGGTAAGGATTTGCGGTGTATTTGAGGAAACTGGCAAATTCTGTTTGGCAGTCAATTCGGTGGACTGCATGCTAAAGGGACTGCCTGCAATGCTCAAAAATGAAGAAAGTCAAATGGAACATGAACGAAATGAAAGTACAATATCTGTATGACGTTTATGAGTTATTTTAAGAAATAAATTCTAGTTACGTTTTCTTCTGTGACCTCGTTATTTTACAACTGATGCACAACGCCCATCGTCAAAATCGAGATTTTTTGTACAGTTTAATGGCATGTGACTAATACAAGCAGAGACATAAGTGGGTACCATATCAGATATGTTGCCTCTGTTGTGGGGAAATGTCGTGTTCAATCCCGAGAATGAAGCTGGAAAAACGAAGCATTAAGAGGAAAAAA